TATGGGTCAAAATCCTATGGCCATGCATGTATCAAACATGATATCTAGTGGAATGGCATCTTCAGTGGGTGCTGCTCAAAACGTGTTTTCATCTTCAGGGTCTGGCACTCTTACACAGGTTGCACAGAACTCAGGTCTTGGTTCATTTACTTCAGCTAATTCTAATGTGTCTGGAAATAATAACCTTGGGATTTCGCAACCAATGAGTAACCTTCAAGGTGGTGTTAGTATGGGTCAATCTGTACCTGGCATGAGCCAAGGAAATCTCTCGGGACCACAAATGGTTCAAAGTGCAATTGGCATGAACCCTAACATGATGAGTGCCCTTGGTTCATCAGGTTCCTCCTCTGGAACTGGTACCATGATTCCTACTCCAGGAATGCCTCAACAGGTGCAAGCTGGGATACAGTCACTTGGTGCAAACAATAGTTCAGCACCTAATGTACCGTTGTCACAACAGACATCAAGCGCTCTGCAATCTGCACAATCCAAATATGTGAAAGTCTGGGAGGTAGGTCTATTATATGTTTTTGGAAAATATTTGAGTTGGGCTTTTGTGAGATAGAATATCAGGGAAAATTTATAAGAGGGTTGGCTCTTGTTTACTGTGGAATTCTGCAATCACTTATATTTGAATGATCTAAACACATGCAGGGAAATTTATCTGGGCAGAGACAAGGGCAACCTGTATTTATCACTAGATTAGAGGTTTGTTCTCAGATGCCTCATGGATCACATGGACTTCTTTTTAATTTTACACTTGTTTTTAGGATTCTACTTTTTCCCCCCTCTAATAAAGTTTACTCTCTTGTAGGATGTTCATATGCTTTTATGTGCTTTTACTTAAAGTTGTTTTGGGAAAATTACAGATACACCCCATGTGGTCTGACATTTTGTGCTTATGGTTTATTTTGTGACACTCATACTTCTGTGGTTTCTTTCATTGCACATAATCATTAATTTTGAGAAGAAAAAAAATGAAGCATGTGTGTGGCTCTGGCACATGAGAATTTTCAGGATGTTGTCATAAAAATTGGGTTGTGAAAGACCATATGCCCATCCTTTTCTTCATCTTTGATTTCCATCAACTCCACTCTTCACCCAAAACTCCACTGCCAAACTATCAAAACAGAGAAACGCGAACTCCAGATTTCCATAGAATCAAAGCCAATGTGTCTATCATGGATAACCATAGGTTTTCTATGTGTTCCCTTGTGATTGTGCTTTTGAGTGATTTATCTTACAAAATTATTATGCATTTGGTGCCAGAGAAGGAGAGAGAGAACAATAATTGCAGAGAACACAAAAAGTGGATATATAGTTTTCTTATGTGTTGTTAATGACACATGTTAAATAGAAATTTTAGTAAACCAGAAAGATGCAAGTGTCCTGAAATAAACCACAGAGATAAGCAATGTTTTAGGGCCTAACCAAATGGGGTTTGTTTGTAATTTTCCCATTTATCTTTTACAATATTAGCAGTCACTCAATTATTTACTAAAATCCCAAATGCTTCTTTGTCAGGGTTACAGGAGTGCTTCAGCTTCTGAGACGTAAGTTGGGGGAGTGCTCTATTTTCTTTGCTAAATAATATGTCAATGGAATATAATCAATGGTTTAAAGTTTCTATCTTCTATCTTTAACACAAATTTATTTATTTTTAGGAAAAAAGGTCTACTACTATTGGTTAAAATAAAAAGTTAGTGAACTGAGTTTATACTCAACTTGATTTCATGCACCTTTACTAGGCAAAAATAGATGATCTGAGAGTGACTGTTTTCTCAAGTTACCTCCATTCTTAGAATCCTGATGATCTGAGAGTGGTTGCTATAAGTTTTGATCAGAACTCTTTAGTTGGGCTGGCCTTGTTGGTTGGTGCTTTACTGCACAATAAAGTGTTATAATTATGGTAAAACGTAATGTCATTGGCATATATCTTTTACCTATATTGATTGACCTGTGTTTTCTCACTCCTCAGGCTTGCAGCAAACTGGCCACCGACAATGCAAATAGTCAGGCTCATATCTCAGGACCACATGAATAACAAGTAACTACTGTTTATTGAAAGATTTCCCTCTTGTATTTTATATATTTCTGTGTATATATTGTCCTGTAGTTGTTATACTCCTCAGTCTTCTTGATTTCATCAACATTTATAATTTCAGGCAATATGTTGGAAGGGCAGACTTTCTTGTTTTTCGGGCAATGAATCAGCATGGGTTTCTTGGGCAGTTGCAAGAAAAGAAGCTTGTAAGATGCCTACTCTCTCTCCCTTCCCTTATATGTATTTCTTCCTGTAAGTGTAGCCAACATATTCCAATTTGATTTTCTTTACAAAATTTATGACTTTCATCATTCATGCTGCACTTCATTTTTCAAGCCCTTTTTTTGTTTTTTTTGTTTGGGTTTTTGGCGGGGTGAGACAGAGTGAACCACATCTATACTTTTTGAATGAGGGGACTTCACTTTTTCTCAAGTCTCGACATTGAAAAACTCTCCTTATTGCTATTCAATTACTTACAGCTTCCACTTTATCCCTTAAGTTTCTCATGTCCAATGATCATGCTCTTTCATTTATATTAACATAATCATCATTATTAGCCCTTGCTTTGTGACATTCTCATATGAACCTAGATAATTATTTAATCAAACTCAATAACCTCCAAATGCTGTGATAAACTATATTCCATTTGTGTTATTTATGCATTTATTTGGGTGAATAATGGTCAGCTTGAAGTGGGGTTAAATTTTGGATTCTGTTCTCATCCTTGTGAGGCTTCAGTATCAAAGCTAGTTGGTGTCTTCTATTTTATTTGACCTTTAATAATAGTTTTCCTCTGAATGTAAATATGAAATTGAGTTCTTTCTGATAGATTTTTTTCTCAAAAAGCTGGTTCCCACTTTTTTTCAGTGTGCTGTGATCCAATTGCCCTCTCAGACACTACTGCTCTCTGTTTCTGACAAAGCTTGCCGCTTGATTGGAATGCTTTTTCCTGGGGTGAGATTGCTATTCTTATTACTGCTGATTGTATTGCTTATTATTTATTTTTTTCCAAATAAAGTTTTAATAGCCACCAACTCTGAGCTTGCAAGTCCACAAAGCATATGTAAGGTACCTTCAGTATTAAAAGCAACCTGCAAAATGAACCTTGTATTTTGTGAAGATTGTGGGGGATAGATTAAAGAGCTTTGTAGCAGCCTGTACAAGGTGCTTTCAGTTCTGAAGGTTCCCTGCATATCCCTCAACTTTTGTTTTAATTTTTTCCAATTTTGAAATGGATGCCTGCGGGGGTTCTCCAAAATGAGGTTGTGGCACGGCATTGTAACTTTCTTATAACCTGGTTCTTTTAAAGCTAAGTCTACCATCGGTTCAGGATATGGTTGTGTTTAAGCCACAAGTAGGTGGTCAGCAACAGCAGCAGCAACAAATGCAACAGCAGCAACCACAACAGCATCCACAGCTACAGCAGCAGCAGCAGCATCCACAGCTACAACAACAACATCCACAGCTTCAGCAGCAGCAGCAGCAGCTGCAACAACAGCAACAGCATCCTCAGATGCAACAACAGCAGCAGCAGCAGCAGCAGCAGCAGCATCCTCAGATGCAACAACAGACGCAGCAGCATCCTCAACTGCAACAACAGCAGCAGCATCCTCAACTGCAACAACAACAGCAGCAGCATCCTCAACTGCAACAACAACAACAGCAGCAGCATCCTCAACTGCAACAACAGCAACAAATTCCACAACTGCAGCAACAACAGCAGCAGCAGCAACTTCCACAGCTACAACAACAGCAGCAGCTTCCACAGCTGCAACAGCAGCAGCTCTCCCAGCTACAATCACAACAACAGCTTCCACAATTGCAGCAACTGCAGCAACAGCACCAACAACAGCAGTTGGTTGGGACAGGAATGGGTCAAGCTTATGTTCAAGGCCGGTCGCAATTAGTTTCACAGGGACAAGTTCCCTCACAAGGGCCCAATATGCCTGGAGGGGGCTTTATGGGTTAAACAAACAAGAGCTTCGACTTATTACAAATACTTGTAGACTGGCATGTGAAGAACTTAATTATCAGCCAAGTATAACCTCAAATTATCACAGTTTTACTTTTTATTTGTAGAGGCCTCTCTTCTTAAATGAGAATTTATAGATTTACACATCTTGACATAGCTCTTTACCAATACCTAAACCTGGTTAAGTGTGCAAGTTTTTATCCCATGAATAAGGCCATACCTTTTGTCTTCTGCAGAAATTTAGTGTGGGTGCGTTATATCTTTCCTAAGCCAAAGTTTTGGTGTACTTGTTTGATTTGTAATCACTATTTACACCCTCATACGCATGCACATATCAAGAAAGAAGAAGCTTATTGAACAACGTGTGAACTTGTTGGTTCAACATGAATGAAAGTTGAAACCTAGTTGCATTTCTAATATTATTATCATAATTTTCTGTGATATATGTGTGACGTTGAGTTAGCGTAAGATTAAACAAAACATGATAATTAACCTTTAATTTTGTGGTAATCAGTGGCTAGCAGTCACCTCTGGGCGTGCAAAGTGGCTGGGGACAGTCAAAAAGAAGAAAAGAAATAGACAGCACCAACTACCCATGAAGAAGAGCATCCTTGGTCTTTAATCATTATCCCTCAAACTATGCCCTCTTCTCTTTATAAAGCCGTAATGTTATATAATTGTACTGATTGAATTTAAGGTGGATCCATTCACCCACCAACAATTTTTTATTTTTTATTTTCTATCATTGGTTCAATACTCGGAATAGAAATAAAATAATTGTATAAAAGGAACTTTCCATAAAGAAAATTGACAGGGGAGCTTCATGATGCTTGACAAAATGGGGTCCTCCTCAGATTCCTTTGTTTCAAACATTAAAGTGGGTGGAGTAAAATCACAAACCTTAGCTTCAGTAAAACACTACATAATTTTAAGTTGGGAGTTAACATCTTTTGCCAAGTATGCAAGGGTCTTTACTGCTTTTCCTATATGATTTGCTCATCTGATCAGTCTTGTTGCTCATCTGATCAGTCTTGAAAAGCACGAGTCCCAGTGGAAGGCAACAAAAATTAATATACACAAGTGGGGCAAAGCAATGTACATATCCCACATTTCTTTCTATGTTCCATCCTCAATTTTGGGTCATCAACCACTATATACATACATGATGACGATCACTCAACTCCCGCATTGAAAGTGTTTCTCTGTCTTCTTTGCAAAAGAAAGAAGAAAAAATGGTGACAACTTCTCCTCCTCCTCCAAAGGTGAGCATCAGTCACCGTTCTTTACTCTACTCACACAAAACAGTACTAGACTACTAACTAACTAGCTTTACAATTTTTTTCAATCTTAGCTCTGTTTGATTTTGATTTTGGTTTTATCATTTATATGTTCCAAACTCTGGCAGGACGTTGTTTCAGACGACAAATGGAAGGAGGATCAGGACACCACTCGCCGAGCCAAATGGTGGTACTCCACCTTTCACACCGTCACTGCCATGATAGGTGCCGGTGTTCTCAGTCTGCCTTATGCCATGGCCTACTTAGGATGGTACAAAAAATACCTCAAATTACCAAAACCAAAAAGAGACAAGTTGTCCTTGTAGTCGTAGTTATCATACATACATGATGACGATCACTCAACTCCCACATTGAAAGTGTTTCTCTGTCTTCTTTGCAAAAGAAAGAAGAAAAAATGGTTACAACTTCTCCTCCTCCTCCAAAGGTGAGCATCAGTCACCGTTCTTTACTCTACTCACACAAAACAGTACTAGACTACTAACTAACTAGCTTTACAATTTTTTTCAATCTTAGCTCTGTTTGATTTTGATTTTGGTTTTATCATTTATATGTTCCAAACTCTGGCAGGAAGTTGTTTCAGACGACAAATGGGAGGATCAGGACACCACTCGCCGAGCCAAATGGTGGTACTCCACCTTTCACACCGTCACTGCCATGATAGGTGCCGGTGTTCTCAGTCTGCCTTATGCCATGGCCTACTTAGGATGGTACAAAAAATACCTCAAATTACCAAAACCAAAAAGAGACAAGTTGTCCTTGTAGTCGTAGTTATAGACTAAACCACTTTTCTTCCTCCTTTTTTTTTTGGGTTTTGTTTCTTCAGGGGTCCGGGGACAATGGTGTTGGCAATATCATGGTGCATGACCTTGAACACAATGTGGCAGATGATACAACTCCACGAATGTGTCCCGGGGACTAGGTTCGATCGATATATAGACCTGGGTCGACATGCCTTTGGACCAAAATTGGGGCCATGGATTGTGCTTCCACAGCAGCTAATTGTGCAGGTTGGGTGTGACATAGTGTACATGGTTACCGGGGGAAAGTGTCTAAAGAAGTTTGTGGAGATGGCATGTGCCAACTGCACACCCATCAAGCAATCATACTGGATTGTCATCTTTGGCTCTCTCCATTTCTTTCTTTCTCAGCTTCCTAATTTCAACTCCGTCGCTGGTATTTCTCTAGCTGCTGCGGTCATGTCACTAAGGTAATTAGTTTCTTAATTCTTTCTCTAAGTTGGTTTTCTGATTTTGTTTTAGAACAACAATTAGAGCAGTCAGTCAAGTCACCCTTTCTAAAACCCTATTAAATTTGACTCACTTAACAAGAGAAACCTTAGAAGGCAAGTTAACAAACTTGCTTGATTAATTTGCAGTTATTCAACTATAGCCTGGGCTGGTTGCTTAAGCAAAGGTCGGGTTGAAAATGTAAGCTACGCATACAAGAAAACGAGCCCAGCAGATTACATGTTCAGGGTGTTCAATGCGTTGGGTCAAATCTCGTTTGCATTTGCAGGGCATGCAGTGGCCCTTGAAATTCAGGCCACAATTCCATCAACTCCCGAGAAGCCTTCGAGGATACCCATGTGGAAAGGTGCCCTCGGAGCCTATTTCATCAATGCCATTTGCTATTTCCCAGTGGCCCTTATTGGGTACTGGGCTTTTGGTCAAGATGTTGATGACAATGTGCTCATGGATCTTAAGAAACCTTCATGGCTCATTGCTGCTGCTAACTTAATGGTCGTCGTCCATGTCATTGGCAGCTACCAGGTCAAACTGCTGACTCACCACTCTGCTCTCAGCACTTAGCAGCTTAATTAAGTAATAATATGAGAGAGAGTTACCTAATTAAGGTTAAGGATGTAATGTGACTAATTTGAAGAAGAACAAAAAAAACTGTGCAGGTTTATGCTATGCCTGTTTTTGACATGCTGGAGAGCTTGATGGTGAAAAAAGTGAACTTCCCACCAGGAATTGCACTCAGACTAATCACAAGATCAGCTTATGTTGGTGAGATTAATTCCCCATTTTGGCTCTGATTTAAGAGACAGAGAGTGATTAATTTTGTTATTTGTGGTTGATTAAAACTTTAATATGTTGCAGCATTTACATTATTCGTTGGAGTGACCTTCCCTTTCTTTGGGGACCTACTTGGTTTCTTTGGTGGATTTGGTTTTGCCCCCACTTCATATTTCGTAAGCCTCTCTCGCTAATAATTCATTTCTTAATCTGTTAATTGTACAACAGCTTCTTGAATTGAGCATTTTTCTTTCTTACAGCTTCCTTCTATAATGTGGCTTATCATTAAGAAACCAAAGAGATTCAGCCTCCAATGGCTCGTCAACTGGGTAAGCCAAATATATATATATATAGAGCTTCAGTTGAGAGATTCTTCAAATAAGTTTATTTATTGCATGATAATATATATTTTAGTGATGAGTTTGTGTTTGAAATTTGCAGGCTTGCATCTTGATTGGAATGTTCATCATGTTGGCCTCCACAGTTGGTGGCTTCCGGAATATCATCACTGATGCATCTACGTATCGTTTCTACACATAATTAATTAATGAGGGGCGAATGTTTATTATGTCATTAATTGGACCAGAAGTATGTATTATTATCATGTTGAGGATAGACTTACTCTTGTACGGCCTAAAATGTTATGTCATCTCTCTTCCTTCACCGATCCTTCCTCCCTATCTACCTACCTGCCAAGCTACCAAGCAATTTTTTCGGTTGTTCATTTCCCTGACCAGAAGCAATTTCAAGTCATTATACTTTTTGGTTTTGGAGCAACTTTTAGCGAGAGCTATATGTTATAGTTTCATGAAAAATTTGAGGCAGCAAAATTCATATACCACCACATGAAATTGCTCCATTTATATTACATAGATGCAATTCTTAACGAAACAAACCTCTCTCTCGCAATATCGCTTGTATTTTAAATTTGAAGAAAAAAAACAGACATCAACAACTTCTTTTGTTCTTGAAAGAAGCTTAAAAATACCAGAAAACCCACATTCTCATTAAAGCCCAAGGAAAAGGAGGTTGTAATAGGTTGGACCTCAACAGTCATAAGAAGCCCATTTAAAATTTGGTTTAGAAACAAACAAAATCATAATAATCACCTGAATTTATCCTATGAAAATATGGTTTAAACTAAAATGAAGTTCGATAGTTTATGCAATACGTAGGGAAAAGATAAATACCTGAAATTACCAAACATCATTTTTTATTTTCGGAAACACCTGTGACCTGCCTGGTTGCCACTTAGTAGAAATTCCTGTCGTTCACATTCACATTTTTGAATTATAAATAAGATTATTCATTCAAAATACGAAAGGAGAAAAAAGTAAGAAAAAAAAATCAGTGATGAAAATCTTTGTTCGTTCTTGGCAGGGCTCAAAACGACGTCTCATGTGAATTGTGAAAACCAGCAGTCCACCTCCACCACACCAGACTCGCCAGTTCGATCGTTTTCTTGTTATTTCGGTTAGAGACCCAAAAGAGAGAAAATTCCAATAAATAAATAAACCACGCGACACATTTCACAGAAAGACAAAGAAAGAGAGTCATGGAGACTGCGATATGTGGGAGACTACCTCTCTCCCCTAACCACGTCTTCAATCCTAAACCAGGTTTCTCTCTTTTCCATAAATTCATGCCCTCTTTTAGATTTTGGGTTTGCATCAAAATCTTTAATTTCGTAAGCTGCTGCAGGAGTAGACTTGCTATCTCCTTCAATTTCAAAGCTTTATTCTCGTAAATCCTTGTGATTTTCTTTATTGTTTTCTTATTTTTGGATTGAGCTTGTTGCCCTCTACATCTGTTCTATCAGCTTATGAAATTTTTATCTAACACACTTCTCCCACTTGGGTACTTTTATTTTTCTGGGTAAAATGGAAGTGTTCCACACTTAGCTGGTGTTTCTCTAGCTGCTGCGGTCATGTCACTAAGGTAATTAGTTTCTTAATTCTTTCTCTAAGTTGGTTTTCTGGTTTTGTTTTAGAACAACAATTAGAGCAGTCAGTCAAGTCACCCTTTCTAAAACCCTATTAAATTTGACTGACTTAACAAGAGAAACCTTAGAAGGCAAATTAACAAACTTGCTGGATTAATTATAATTTGGTTGATTAATTTGCAGTTATTCAACTATAGCCTGGGCTGGTTGCTTAAGCAAAGGTCGGGTTGAAAATGTAAGTTACGCATACAAGAAAACGAGCCCAGCAGATTACATGTTCAGGGTGTTCAATGCGTTGGGTCAAATCTCGTTTGCATTTGCAGGGCATGCAGTGGCCCTTGAAATTCAGGCCACAATTCCATCAACTCCCGAGAAGCCTTCGAGGATACCCATGTGGAAAGGTGCCCTCGGAGCCTATTTCATCAATGCCATTTGCTATTTCCCAGTGGCCCTTATTGGGTACTGGGCTTTTGGTCAAGATGTTGATGACAATGTGCTCATGGATCTTAAGAAACCTTCATGGCTCATTGCTGCTGCTAACTTAATGGTCGTCGTCCATGTCATTGGCAGCTACCAGGTCAAACTGCTGACTCACCACTCTGCTCTCAGCACTTAGCAGCTTAATTAAGTAATAATATGAGAGAGAGTTACCTAATTAAGGTTAAGGATGTAATGTGACTAATTTGAAGAAGAACAAAAAAAACTGTGCAGGTTTATGCTATGCCTGTTTTTGACATGCTGGAGAGCTTGATGGTGAAAAAAGTGAACTTCCCACCAGGAATTGCACTCAGACTAATCACAAGATCAGCTTATGTTGGTGAGATTAATTCCCCATTTTGGCTCTGATTTAAGAGACAGAGAGTGATTAATTTTGTTATTTGTGGTTGATTAAAACTTTAATATGTTGCAGCATTTACATTATTCGTTGGAGTGACCTTCCCTTTCTTTGGGGACCTACTTGGTTTCTTTGGTGGATTTGGTTTTGCCCCCACTTCATATTTCGTAAGCCTCTCTCGCTAATAATTCATTTCTTAATCTGTTAATTGTACAACAGCTTCTTGAATTGAGCATTTTTCTTTCTTACAGCTTCCTTCTATAATGTGGCTTATCATTAAGAAACCAAAGAGATTCAGCCTCCAATGGCTCGTCAACTGGGTAAGCCAAATATATATATATATAGAGCTTCAGTTGAGAGATTCTTCAAATAAGTTTATTTATTGCATGATAATATATATTTTAGTGATGAGTTTGTGTTTGAAATTTGCAGGCTTGCATCTTGATTGGAATGTTCATCATGTTGGCCTCCACAGTTGGTGGCTTCCGGAATATCATCACTGATGCATCTACGTATCGTTTCTACACATAATTAATTAATGAGGGGCGAATGTTTATTATGTCATTAATTGGACCAGAAGTATGTATTATTATCATGTTGAGGATAGACTTACTCTTGTACGGCCTAAAATGTTATGTCATCTCTCTTCCTTCACCGATCCTTCCTCCCTATCTACCTACCTGCCAAGCTACCAAGCAATTTTTTCGGTTGTTCATTTCCCTGACCAGAAGCAATTTCAAGTCATTATACTTTTTGGTTTTGGAGCAACTTTTAGCGAGAGCTATATGTTATAGTTTCATGAAAAATTTGAGGCAGCAAAATTCATATACCACCACATGAAATTGCTCCATTTATATTACATAGATGCAATTCTTAACGAAACAAACCTCTCTCTCGCAATATCGCTTGTATTTTAAATTTGAAGAAAAAAAACAGACATCAACAACTTCTTTTGTTCTTGAAAGAAGCTTAAAAATACCAGAAAACCCACATTCTCATTAAAGCCCAAGGAAAAGGAGGTTGTAATAGGTTGGACCTCAACAGTCATAAGAAGCCCATTTAAAATTTGGTTTAGAAACAAACAAAATCATAATAATCACCTGAATTTATCCTATGAAAATATGGTTTAAACTAAAATGAAGTTCGATAGTTTATGCAATACGTAGGGAAAAGATAAATACCTGAAATTACCAAACATCATTTTTTATTTTCGGAAACACCTGTGACCTGCCTGGTTGCCACTTAGTAGAAATTCCTGTCGTTCACATTCACATTTTTGAATTATAAATAAGATTATTCATTCAAAATACGAAAGGAGAAAAAAGTAAGAAAAAAAAATCAGTGATGAAAATCTTTGTTCGTTCTTGGCAGGGCTCAAAACGACGTCTCATGTGAATTGTGAAAACCAGCAGTCCACCTCCACCACACCAGACTCGCCAGTTCGATCGTTTTCTTGTTATTTCGGTTAGAGACCCAAAAGAGAGAAAATTCCAATAAATAAATAAACCACGCGACACATTTCACAGAAAGACAAAGAAAGAGAGTCATGGAGACTGCGATATGTGGGAGACTACCTCTCTCCCCTAACCACGTCTTCAATCCTAAACCAGGTTTCTCTCTTTTCCATAAATTCATGCCCTCTTTTAGATTTTGGGTTTGCATCAAAATCTTTAATTTCGTAAGCTGCTGCAGGAGTAGACTTGCTATCTCCTTCAATTTCAAAGCTTTATTCTCGTAAATCCTTGTGATTTTCTTTATTGTTTTCTTATTTTTGGATTGAGCTTGTTGCCCTCTACATCTGTTCTATCAGCTTATGAAATTTTTATCTAACACACTTCTCCCACTTGGGTACTTTTATTTTTCTGGGTAAAATGGAAGTGTTCCACACTTCTTTTACAGAAAAATGAACTGCCAAGAAAAACCCAAATGATCACGTAGCTATAATTACATATACAATGTATAAGATTAGTTGATGCTGCCAAAGAATTATGTAATTGGTGAGAATTGTATGTGTAAGGGTGCATATATGTTGTGACGAATCTAAAGGTTTGATTACAAGAAACTTTTTCGCAACAAAATTGAATCAAATTTTCGATATTGAGGAGGTAGGGCAGATTTGGGATTGTCATGTGTACTGCAAGTTAGTTCATTGTGTGCTTGTACATAAACTTGGGCGGGTTTCTTATATGTTCTCCTTTGGGAGTTATGGAGTTTCAGTTTTGCTAATGTAAGATCGAGTAATGCAAGTGGCAATTTTTGGATTTCTTGCCACTGCCGCCGGGTGCATGTGATGCCACCCACGTGTTGTGTTGGTTTCCTTAAAATTGTTTAAAGGATTTTGTGCAATTATGGAGATCTAGCATCTCTAGGGTTAGAGTGTTTGCTACAATTTCAGTATATTTTATCTTTTCGACCAATTGGAGAGCCAGTTCTAAAGATCTGGGTTTTCAAACTCTTTATATTTTATCTGCGGTGCTTGTAAAATGCACATGTTGGGGTGGTTCTGTATTATGTTATCTTTGTATCTTTTTTCATCTCTCTGTTTCTGTTTCGATTGCTAAATTACTTTTTCAATCAGAGATTGGTTAGTATGAATAGTGCATTGCTGTAGTGTTGCTTTATCCTTTAAAATGTAGATGCAAGAGTGATTCCGATCGGTAAAATTTTCTTGATAAAATATGTTTAGCAGGAGACAGACACCCTCTTTGTAAAGGACCATGCACCAATCTTGGCATTCCCATGGCTGTATCAGCAACAGGACCTGGTAAAGGAGGAGGGTTGTTGGAAAGGCCAATTATAGAAAAAACAACTCCTGCGCGTGATTCTGAGTTTGATTTGAGGTATTGGCTCAATTTTAACCTGCTATTTTCTTATATTGTGTACATGGCAATATGAAGTTATATCTTTACACCGTACAAGTGCCTTGTTTAACACTAAAATGCTGCAAAGAGAGTTTACCTGTGTGTATCTTGTTGTGTCAAATGGGAATTAATATTAGACTGTCCAAATTGTTTAGGAAATCAAGGAAAACAGCTCCTCCATACCGTGTAATTTTGCACAATGACAACTACAACAAACGGGAATATGTTGTGCAAGTACTGATGAAGGTTATCCCAGGGATGTCCCTTGATAATGCTGTTAATATTATGCAAGAAGCACACCATAATGGCTTGTCAATAGTGATCATATGCGCTCAGGCTGATGCTGAAGAACACTGCATGCAACTGAGGCACAACGGGCTTCTGAGTTCAATCGAACCTGCAAGTGGCAGCGGATGTTAATGACATGCATGGTAGAACCCAATTGCTGTGAAGAATTGCCTCTGAGCTTCAGATGCTGTACATAATCCCAGTTCCCATATTTTTATGAATCTTGGTCATCCTGTGGTCTCATTAAGACGAGAGATGGTAGTTCAATAAAAAGTGGCTCAGTTTAAAGTATGAATTTGGACTATTTTCCTCTGAGTTACAGTGGCCTGCTGCTTTCATGGTGCTTTACATTTAATCAACTTGTTTACTTGCTGACCACATTCATGGCACACACTGTCACTGTCATGAAAAACAACGTGGTATCTTAAGATTAACACGTGATTATGAGCCTTGTTACAAGGGATTTAGACTGAGTTTAGGTGGAAGTGTGGACTCTCAAATTTTTTACACCTGGTCCGGCAACTGTAATCTCCTTTAACCATGTTGTTCGGTCTTGATTTATGCGTGCTAGTTTAGTTTGTTATTGTGGACCATAGCATGAGCTCTGTTCTTCCTATTAGTCCAAATTCGCTGTAAAAATTTAGGGGTTTTCATGTTGGTTCCACTCAAATAAATCTGTTCAAATTCATCATCCCAAGTGGATTGCAGGATTTGAATTTGAATTTAGATTTCAAATCTTGATTCACTTTATCGGATTGTAAGAATGCATTTGTATTTGGCGACAGATTCATTGGGATGAGCTAAACAGAGATTACTTTGCGGGTGGATAAACTAGGCAAAGCAGATTGCTTTGGATCTTAAAATCGATGTTCTAAATGCATACATCTATGCTAGTTTATCTACTCAATTTAATCCTCGTTTTTTGGTCGACACCAAACTAATCCTCATATAAAGTAAGGTCATAACATAATCCGAGTGAATATTTATATAATATAGATATATCAATGTTAATGTAAGATTTATTGGAGTAGCATGCAACAGAGTAGAGCGGAGATGTTCTCATCAATGATTCCAGAGTGTAACATTGGTTTGGTGTGGATCTTGTAAACAATAACTCTTTGAATCTTAACGTTCATATATGAGAGGCTCTCATCCCTCTAATAAATACTGACGATGCAATGCTTGTAAATGATCCCTTGCACGGTGTGTAGATATAAGTTCTTTAAATCATCCTTCAATCCCTGAATCAGCAGATTAGGACAAGGCAGAGTCATCATCAGAAATTACACATGCAGACTGGCAGTATCTAAGACGTGTGTATGTGTGTGTGTTTGTGTGTGTTTGTGTGAGCTGCGCTCGTGTGTGCGTGCGTGAGCTCGTTGTATCCAGCATCGTGTACTTACTAATCGTTAATCAGACTCTAGGTATCATGCCTCAACTGTTGAAAGGAAGGATTGGATTCCAAAAACAATGAAAAGAATTCCGCCTGATAAAGCAACCTGAAACAAAACAGTTGCCACTTACAAGTGGAAATGCTACATATTGCCTAGAGGTCGCATATATGATATATAACGATAACTATAATATGTTAAAACCAAAATGGAGGTGCATAGAATTACTATTTTCTCAGATATCTGAGATGCCAAACTCTTTCCGCCAAGGACAGCAGCAGTGGTACACAATGCTTGTCCTCTGAAAAAAAAAAATAATAATAGAGAAAAAAGGGAAGCACAATCAGTAACTAGGGCAAAAACAATTAAATAAAGGAAGGAAAGAGAATTCTAAGAATGAGAGTGCATGGTGGTATCTAAATTTGTTTAATCCCCACACCTAAGGACACTAGGAAACAAATGAAGTAGCATTCTTGTATAACAAATAAGCTTCACATCAGTACATGAACTCACACGGTCACACGAGCTTATATGATCATAATTGAAGCAAATTGAGAAAGCATAAGGAATAGAATACATAAAAGAAATCCTATGCTGATAGCCCTTTCCTATGCTGTTTGACGAAATATTAACCAACAAATAGGCATATGAAACACATATCCAACAATAATCCATATCTCGTGTTGTGCCCAGCATTGCCACTTCATGCATATAAAGGTATCAATGTAATACTTATCAGACCAAAATAAATTCATATAGTAAGACTTTTACATATCACTGATCCAAGATGGGCCATTAATCATTCAAAACCATCAGAACATGTTCATCAAAATATGCATTCAAAGACAGACACAATTGTGAAAAGGACAAGACTAAAAATGAAGAAAAATAATAATTGGTCACACTGAAGAGGGAATGAGAAAAGGAAATAAGAGGAAGTCATGTAACAGAACACAATTTCAGAGCATGTTCAATAAATAAAAGGATGGGCACTTACAAGATTCCACCAAGAACCACACCTAATGGATTCTCATCTGCAGCCAGACCAATGGTAGCTAGCTAAAAGGATAGAAGTTCAAAACCAAATCGTGCTGAAGCAACCATCAATAAAACATCTATTC